AAATGCAGCGTGCGTGCCCATACATACATACATATGTACATGCATAGTACGTACATGCGCGCATCGAGGTTGAAGGAATTGTCATAAAAATAGCTGGTGTTATATTTACTTGTAACGAGGTATGTAATATGAGATCACAGAAGAGTAATTTAATAGCATTTTAATTTGTAAAATCTTTAAGTTTTGTATGAAAAAATAGTTGCTCGCTAGATTTTACGATAGAATTCTTATGAAAGAAGAATGTCAGATAACCAGGGACCGAACATAACAGTTATTGATGAAAACAGTCTTTGAAAAACTCACTATGAAGGAAATGTTCTACAACTAAAGGCCAAATTAGATGTGCCGTATCCATAACGCCTTAGCCATAACGTAGCAAAATACTACAGAGCTGCTTATGGATATTTCGAATAAAATAAAAGAGATACCTACGATTATGGTTATGGCTCTGGCGTTATAATTACGGTGACCATATTTATGGAAGCCAAATACGGGACAAAAAAAAATTTTTCCACAAAAGCTAAGATATCTTAAAAGCTCCTTCAATGATCCTAGATGTATTCACCCTAAAACAGCATTCTTATAGTAACATTATACATTTGTAGGATATTTTTCTCGAGATTTTTACCCTGCGAAATTTGTTTAAATAAAATCGTTAAATTTTAGGATAATAAAATGCAAGTGCAATCAGTCAGTTGAAATTCGAAGGCGTTCAGGCGAAGAGGTTCAAAAAGGCGCTTCCGATAAAAAAAAAAAGAATCAAACAGAAGCAATAAGACATGCCTGCTTACTCGTACTATAAACAAGTAATTTTTAGCGAAAAAAAAAACTATTTTTAAGGGGGGGTTACGATGGACAGAACTGTTGTATTAGCTTTTCTTTGACTCGTATACGGGATAACTATTTATACTCAAAGGAAAGTATTTGTGTATTGACTTTGCAAATCGGCAAATCAATCATTGATCATCTGGCAGTCAGAGAACTAACGCTTTTATAGCACATACGGTATGATGAAAGATACACAAACTGACTCTTCAAAACAAAAAAAAAAACAAAAAACAACTACAAGACTCATACATAATTGCAACTGTCGACAAACGTCAAATGTCAAATTGTTAAAGCGACAGTCGCCAGTACAGAAAACCATAATCAATAATAACAACAATTGCAGGCACGAATGGAGTGAGAAGTATCAATAAAGGACTGTACGAGTAAAAATATGCCAAAGTATGAACAATACGCTGAAGCTGTATTTATGTACAAATATCTGTATGTTTTGACATATCTACACACATGCCTACAAGTGCATACTACACACAAATAGGCCTGTGACCTTTTTATGGCGCGTCAGTACAATGGCAACAGCAGTACCAACTGATAAAAGCTAGCAAAGCTTGATGATGAATAGAGCGCTCTAGTGGGCAATAACGTCCATACAATGCATTGGCCAAAGCAATTGCAATGAATAGCAAAGCGTGTATACAGTATACAGTCCGACAAGTACGAGAAGTAAACAAGTAGCAAAAGCAACAACAACACCGAATATGTACTGCATTTATAATGGTCATCAAGCTGGTTACATACACACGAGTACGTACATACATATATAGAAGGAACCATTGCAGCGGCAAACATTGTGGCAGCTGAGTGAAACTCCATTTCCTTATTGCGCGAATATTGTGACGGATTGGATTTGCAAGCTGCAATTTTCTCGTATTTGTTGTTGTGCTTTTTTTTCATACATTTGTGTATGTCTGTACGTACGAATAAACACATGTCGCCTTTTTTTGGCTATGCCAAGTGGACAGACACCATTTAACGATCAGCAATGCAGTTGGATA